TTGATTTACGGGCTCCACACATGACAAATCTTACACTTGGAAACCGGTATACAGACAACATCTTCTTCCTCAGGCTGATCTTCTCCACTGGCAGCGTAGCCCTTTTCCTCAAACGTGTTATCCTCCACCTCTGCAACACAAGGCCCTTGTCTTTAAGCTAGAAGACCAACTTAAGCTGCGCACAACTTCAATTTCTCCAGAGTATCATCTTTTGTCAACATATCAGCAGGGTTCTGAATTTCACAAATTTTCTCAAGCAACAATTGTCTGTCATCCAATAATGACCGTATGAAATGATACATGATCTAAATGTGCTTAGTCCTGGACTGAAATGTTGGATTCCTGACAAGGAATATGACGCTCTGACTATCACTGTAGAGAATGCCCTTCTGATTCTTCTTGCCCAATTCTTCCAAGAAGTCTTGTAGCCATATCATCTCCTTTGCAGCCTCTGACACTGTTATGTACTCAGTTTCTGTAGCAGACAATGAAACTGTCTTCTGCAGATTAGAGCCCCATGATACTGCAATGCCACCAACAGTATAAATATAGCATGTAATACTTCTTCTGGTATCAATGTTTCCAGCTAGATCAGCATCAACATAGCCCCGTACCTCTGAACTCTTTCCTGAGAAACACAAGAAAGTTTCTGCATAGCCTCTTAGGTACCTCAAGATCCACTTCACTGCTTCCCAATGTTCCTTTCATGGATTATTCATGTATCTGCTAACAACTCCCACTGCATGAGCAATATTCGGTCTGGTGCAAACCAAAACATACATAAGTGAATCAATAGCTGAAGCATAAGGAACCTTACTCATGTGGTTTTGTTCCTCCTCTGATTTGGGTGACTGATTCTTGCTGAGTCTAAAGTGACTTCCCAAAGGTGTGCCAACTGGTTTGGCCTTATCAATGTTGAACCTGCTAAGTATCTTTTTCACATACTCAGCCTGAGAGAGTCTCAACATGCTTCTGACTCTATCTCTGACAATTATCATACCAAGAATTTGCTTTGTCACTCTCAAATCCTTCATTGCAAAGTGTTCTGACATCTGCTCCTTCATATTATTGATCTCCTCAATACTAGCACCTGCAATAACCATATCATTCACATACAGCAGTAGGATGATATAGGAATTGTCAAAATATCTGACGTAGCAACAATGATCTGCCTAACATCTATTGTACCCTACACTGTGCATGAAATTATCAAATTTCTTGTACCACTGTCTAGGAGCTTGCTTTAGGCCATATAAGCTCTTCTTCAATCTGCAAATTGACTTTTTCTTTCCCTGTACCACGAACCCTTCAGGTTGGTGGATGTAGATGTCTTCTACAAGATCCCCATGAAGATGGTTGTCTTCACATCTAATTGCTCAAGGTAGAGATCTTCAGTAGCCACCATAGACAGTATCATTTTGATGGTTGTAAGTTTCACCACATGAGAGAAAATCTCGGAATAATCAATACCATGCTTCTGCTGAAAACCCTTTACAACAAGTCTAGTCTTGTACCTCTTACTGCCATCATGCTCAGTCTTCACCTGGTACACCCACTTTTTGTGTAATGTCTTTTTCCCAGATGGAAGATCTACTAACTCCCAAGTCTGATTTTCTAGCATAGAATCCATCTCCTCCTTCATGGCTAACTCTCACTTGCTCGAATTTTCATCTTGCAAGGTTTCTTCATAACTCTGAGGTTCTCCACCATCTGTCAGTAGAATGTAGTTCAAAGTTGGAGAATAACGTTGTAGAGAACGTCTAGCCCTTTCTGACCTGCGAACTGCAACTATAGGGGTAGACTGCTCTGAAACTGACTGTGGAACAATAGGAGTGGATGCCCTGGATCCACTGTCCTCGTCACCTGCATCTTTGTCTTACATTGTGACCTCTGGTAAATCATCAAATTTTACCAACTCAGATTCCTTCTGTGTTGTTTCAGAAACTGTACTGGACTTGTCCTTGTACATAACATTCTCATTGAAAATCACGTTTCTGCTCCTAATGATCTTCCGACTCTAATCATCCCAAAAACGATATCCAAATGTTTTATCTTCATAGCCAATGAAATAACACTTCTTTGACTTAGTCTCAAGCTTACTTCGAGCATCAGGATTAATGAGAATATAAGAAAGACAACCAAAAGTCTTAAGGTGAGAAAATTTTACCTCTTTCTCACTTCAGACTTCTTCAGGTAATTCACAGTTTAATGGAATATATGACCCCCTATTGATCAAATAAACTGTAGTACTGACCGCTTCTGCCCAGAAAGTAGGTGGTAGTCCGGCGTGCAATCTCATGCTTCTAGGCCGCTCATTAATGGTCCTGTCATGCGCTCCAAACACACCATTTTGTTGTGGTGTTCCTGGAATGGTCTTCTCCATTTTGATTCTCTGAGCTGCACAGTACTCCTTGAACTCACCATCAATGTACTCACCACCATTATCAGACCTCAGACATTTCAGCTTTAATCATGTCTCTGTCTCAACCATGGCCTTCCAAGTCATGAACACACTGAATACATCAGATTTATACTTCAAGAAATAAACCCATATCTTTCTGCTATGGTCATCAATGAATGTGAACCTCCAAGAGATTCCACTGGAGAAGGTCCACACACATCTGTGTGTACAAGATCCAGCTTTCCTGCCTTTGGCGTCTGCCACCTTTCAAGAAACGAACCTTCCTCTATTTCTTTATAATGCAACTCTCACAGATGTCGAGATCAACTGACTTCAGTTCTGGTAGCTTACCTCTGGACTGAAGTTCCTTCATACCTCTCTGACTCATGTGGCCAAGTCTGCAATGCCACAACTCTGTTGTGCTCTCTGCAACAGTAGTATCAACATTGTTAATTAAATCAGTAGTCATATATAGCGTATCTGTTTTCTTACCCTGAGCCAGTACTAGTGCTCATTTAGTAACTTTCTAGGTGTTATTTGAGAAAAATATTGAATGTCCACATTCATCAAGCTGTCCAACATAAATGAGGTTCTTTTTCAGTTCAGGAATGTGTCTAACCTTTTGCAGAGTCCAGTTGTTCTTATTTGGAAGTGCAATGTCAATATCTCTCATTCATACCACGTTCAGAGCTTCTCTATCTGCCAGCTATATTTTCCCAAAATCACCTGCAACATAATTCCGCATCAATTCCCAATAGAAAGTTGTATGGAAAGAAGCTCATAAATCCAGCATCCATTCATCAACAGAACTATGAACTGCTAGCAGTAGTGCATCATGTGTTTCTTCAATTACCACATTCGCACTGTCATTCTCCTTCTTCTTAGGATTCTTGCAGTTCCTCCTTATGTGGTTAGTTTTGTCACAATTCCAGCAATTTACTTGTTTACCAGACCTTGATTTGCTCCTGGTTCTGTTCTTTTATATTGATCTTCCCCTGTTTGAGTTCTTGTCTTGTGATCTCCCTCTGGAATCAACCTCCTCAGCCAAAATCAAATCACAAATATCTTCGTATTTCAATTTAGATTTACCTGCAGAATTACTCACAGTCATCCTCATAGTTTCCTAGCTATTTGACAAATAAACTCGTATCTCATCATCAAATTCAATTTTCACAGACGATAATTGATTTGTGATAGTATTGAAATCATTCAAGTGTTGTACAACAGATGCACCTTCAGCCATCTTCAAATTGAATAACTTCTTCATCATATATACCTTGTTATTTGTCGATGACTTTTCATATATACCTGACAGGGCTGTCATAAGATCTGCAATTGTTCTCTCCTTGATGACGTTATGTGCAACAGACCTCGATAGGCTCAATCGAATAACTCCCAGAACCTGTAGATCCAACATATTCCATTTAGCTTCATCCATTCTGTCAGGTATTTTCTCCAATAACAGAAGATGTAGTTTCTTCTCATAGAGGTAATCCTCTATCTACATTCTCCAGTAACCAAAATCTGTGACATCAAATTTCTCGATCCCTG